GCCTATGACTAAAATCTATTCTGTGATATCTACTAATCCGTACATGTCAGTTTGTATACGTTAACAAATTGCCCCTCGATCTTAGTATAAGTCAAAAGTGTAAGCAGTCACTGGTTTTTGCAATCACCAGAGTGAAGTCCTTACAGACGATATGCAGGCGTTGTACGTGTGCATATACCCATTATTTAGTTCACGAAAAAAATGGATTTTAACATATGTAATTTACCAAACATAAAGGTCTAGACTTATAGACTAAATACTGAAGTCTCTGTGATTGCTCAAGCTAAACTGTCAAAACCAACGTCATTTTCGAAGCTCTTGTGAGTGGATGCCTCAGATTGTCAGTTCATAGCTATTTGATCCTGTGACTTGCTTGTTCCCCTCAAATGATCCACTGATTTATGAGGCTAATTTGATGGGGAACCCAACTCATCCTCATGTCGTGCTGTAAGCTCGAGTCCTACCATATGTGTGGGAAAAAATAACACCAAGTAAAGTGTATTTATGATACTTATGACCATAATGGCACAGTAGTAAAATAGTAGGGGTTACCAGTCATTGATTTGTTTTAAAAGTCCTTGTCTTATCATTTCTTTTTCCTTGTATCGTGCAGTGTTGTTAGTGACCCTTTTCACTGATCCCTGTCGTATTTTTCATCGTTTCGGAAATTACATTGTGTTCTGATCCCAATTGACCTACTTGTAGGGTAGAAACACCATGCGCTTCATGTCGTATTGCATTAACTATAAGTAAACGTAATAAGTTTCATTATTTTCTTCTGTGAAGGAGTCATCTGGCATATGCAATGCCTGCTCAGAATTAATTAAATTTGTAGTTTCAATAGAAACAATGCCACCAGAAATGGATTAATTTATTTTGTAACAGGTTATTTTGGTTCAGTACAGAGGAGTTATCCAGTTAACCCAAGATGAGTTCGATTTTTGGATTTTGTGAATATAGTGGTTAGGTTTTACCGGACTTCAGCAGGAATAATGATTCGCTATCTGTTACATAGTACGTTCTGATAAACTACTGATATATGCTTCTTAACGTTAAGTGGCATATTTGAATATTATGGATTTCGTATCGGAAATATACCTTTTTAGGTTGTTCGTCACAACGCTAAATAAAAAATCCATTGTCCAGTTTGCATGCTGGAGTGCTAATTCCCAAGAGCATCATGACGCTGTACTCGTATCATTTTAGCAGAGCTTATTTTATCAAAATAAATGGTTAAACACTTATCTTCTCTATTCATTGAGGTCGAGATTCATCATGTCATGAATCAAGACTGCGAGAATTTATTTGTTTTTAAAATAAGCAAACTAAAATACTACGGTCAACCTGTTAGAAGATGTAAGATAAGTAACTAAGAATGCAAGAGGGAAACCAGGAACGTGATTAAGCAATTCTCTCTCCCTTGCTTCTTTTCTCTTCGTGAAAGGCAAAATAAAACTGCAGCTGGACAACTATTTGCTTGGACTGTTTCTTATCTGTATTTCTCACATGGTGTTTTCACACCATATCCAGTTAATGACGATACATCTGTCACCTTTATTTATTAAAGCAAACAGTACATAAGGGACACAAAGGGATGCGCCTCACGGAGTATCAGTTTGCGCGAGGGCTGGAATACTGCTAGGACTCCCAGACAGAGCCGGTGGTTGACTTAAGAGCCCCATCACTAGCCTTTAACTCGAAGACTGTCAGGAGCTGCGTTATCAAAGTTTTCAGTGTCCGGAACGGGCTCATACACCGCTCTATCCTTTCAAATTCTGGAACCCATGTGCACCATAAGATACGGAATCAGGGTTTTCCAGCTCCCCAGGTAGACCTCCATATCCACCAGTCTGGTTGTGAGCGCCAAATGTTCGCATACACCCTTTTACTTATGTGAGGAACACCTCGGCCACATGAAGACATTGAGGACTTACCTTGCAGAGGTAGATTATGAACATGTTACCACATAAGAACATTTCGAGTGAAAAATTATTTGCCTACCCACCCTCGGCCGTACCAGGTGGTTTATGAGACAAGTGTAAGAACATAGACTAGTATGTGTTTTTTAAAAGCTTATGAATTACTATTTCATTTCTGTGACTAAACACAGTAGTCCAACAGATTGATGAATTTCTGGTCTGTGTTAAGCGATTTTATTATTCATGTAGTTCTCTCTAAAGAAGGCATTTAATTTTTGTGTGGTAATGTGCTTATTTTTTGGTTATTTTCATCGTGTAAATAATTAGGGTTGATCTTACTATCCGTATGTAGTGTGTGTGCTGTTCCTCATCACTGCAATGTTGTGAATTTATTTTACCTGAGTTCAAGATGATAAATTGCCACATTAGCATTTCAGTAGTAATTCATATTGACTAGCCTTTCTCTGTAATACTCTCCACTTACACTCAAGTTTGTTGTTAGTTTATAATCTTACCATTCAAAATGTAGAATTAATATTCGGACTAATGGTAACTATGACTTTCTGTCAAATATATCTAATAAATCGGTTTGCATTCACTAAATGTCATGCGATTCGCTCCCGCCAAATGCAAGATGATGTTACAGGACTGGACTACATCGACGCCTAGTTTAAAAATAGGAAGTGAAGTAGTAGAGCACGTTTACCGCTTCACTTATTTGGGAAGTACCATCAGCCAGTGCCAACGGGTTGATCTCTGATGAAATCTCAGCACGGATACAGGGGGCTCGTTTCGCATATGCCAGTTTACGCCGCCTCTGGCGTGGACGAGATGTTCGACTATCGACCAAAGGGCGGGTGTACTGCTCGTCAGTCCGCTCCGTCCTCCTTTATGGTTGTGAGACCTGGCCACTGAGAGTGGAAGACACGAAAAGACTAGCTGTCTTTGATCATAGGTGCCTGCGTTCTATTTCCCGTGTAAAGTGGCATAATAAGGTGAGCAATATTGAGGTTAGGCGTCAAATTCTAGGTAAACAGGGGAAATCAATCGACGAAGTCGTGAAGCTACAAAGACTGAGATGGTTAGGTCATGTGTTACGTATGCCAAGTCATCACCTCCCTCGACGAGCTATGTTAGCGGATATAGGGTCAGGCTGGAAAAAAGCTAGCGGCGGTCAAACAAAAACTTGGCATCAGTCAATGAAATCCACAACAGTTGGTCTAAGCCACGTAGAAAGGTGTAGACTTCCAGGCTGGGGTCCTCGGGACGATAAAAATCTATGGTTGGAAACAATTGGTGACATGGCTCAAAATCGTTCTCAGTGGCGTAGATGCATCCACTCCCTGTGACTTATGATCTTCAATGAAACTGTTTTGTATTTCTTTATTACTCCTTTGTCTCACACCTCTGCTCACTGTTTCTATTATGCTTTTCTTGTACTTTCTTCTCTTGCTTCGCGTGCTACACGGAATGTGGCGACTTGAACTTCCGCACATTTGTGCAAAGTTCTATGTCGAAAACAGACAGACAAATGTCAGTTCAGTGATAAATGTAGTACAACTCACTGGTGAACAAGATAGCATTCAAATTTCTTTAATGTAATACATTTGACTATGGTCTACATGTACGTATACGTTTGTGATTCCAAAAACCGGAAGTATCATACGCAAAATGTTTCCATGAATTCTAATTTAAATAATTGGTCTTTTTGTAGGTTTTACGTATATTTTTGAGCGAAGAAGTTCCCTGGAAACTAATGTTAAGTCATCATATTAGAAAGTGGGCAAATATATGCCTAAGTTATCAACTTGGGTTGTATATAAATGCACGTTCTTATAAACAGTATTTGTTTTTGTACACTTATAACCCTTGTAAATCTCACGGTTTTCTAATATTATTCCCTTTTGAAATTTTTAGAAATCTAAAAGATGTAAGAAGCATTATTATTAGTAGTAGACGTTACTACTCTATCTAATTGGTATAAGTAAAGAGAGCTCACTTCATTTTGCCAATAGTTCTCCGTGACCGTACAACAATTTCAATTATTTTGTTTGCATCACGTGCTTTAAACATGCTGAGTACTCACTTTTTTCACAAAGCATAAATAACATGATATTATTAATAAAGCCTTAGGTTATGCTTCTTTTCTTCCAAGGCTGTTGTGCCCTTTGATGCGTTTTAGCACATTGACTTTCGAATATTTTATGACTTCCATTTACCTTCCATCTTTACTTGAAAGTTACTCCTTATCTCTATTTTCACATGCCTTGATCCAGATCAATTTGAAGGTTAAGGTGAATTTAAAGCATATATATATATATATATACCATGCGTTGCTAAATGCTACTGTCTTCAATTTTTTCGCGTTTGTGATATCCTTTGTAAAATTTCTAACCACCATAGTGCGTACTACTGATGCATTTGCTTCCTGCAGTATATCCTCATGGTTTATTGATAAACGGGCATATCGGAAGGGTATATGAAGTTTATAATTTAGTGATGTATAGATTGTTCAGTTTTGGTCATCATAGTGTTCGGAATTAATGGTTAGCCACATTCTATCACAAGTCGCAGTCTGTTGTAGGCCTATTCACTCTTAATCGTCTATCAGACTCTCCAAGTTTTTGCCAGTCTTTATTTAGTTATTGTCTTTCTATCTCACTATCATTATGTCCTTCGTTTTTACGTTTTGTTTTTTGGCTTAAACTGATAGATTTGTATGCAACGTTCCACTTTGGTCTATCTGTGTCGTCCGTATATACATCATCATCTGTCTAGCGTCATCGGGTTGCTAAGCTTCACCGACTGGTGATGAGGCTCGAGATCATTTACAGTACTTCAACATTGAAATTGTAGACAGCACTGCACTTAAATGGTTTCCTCTGTCGATGACTCACATAGATCTATGTTAGTTGTATCGTTTTACCTTCATACATACTTTTTCAAGGCATGATAACTTGTGCTGACTTGCTTCTCTGCAGGCTTCTATGTTAATCTATTATCATCGGTGATTGAGTGTACTGATTACATAAAAAGATGAACTTTTACCTGTCGTAATATGTTAATTTAATAGTTAGTAAAATGTCGACATCTTTAGTGTTATGGACTTTAAGAAGTTTGAACTGTCAAAGGTTTATAGTATCTAAGTAATTCCTCGAAACTATTGATGTAGTAATTATTGATCATATTTCTTTCCTCGGTTGTCTTATTAAAAATATATTTAATCCCAGTAGAAAGTACTTTCATATATTGCTTATTGCTCATTTCAATATGGCTAGGTTTGAATCTGTTTCGTCTAGTTTAGCTTATATGTCTGAATTGTGTTATCATCAGCTCTCATTTGTTTTCTTTTTTTGCTATATGAAGATTCTGTTCCAGTAACGGAATTTTCATCGTTTAGTCTTTCGATAGTTTTAATTAGTATTAAGTTTCCGCTCATTTAATGCATTATGATTTGCTAGCTAAGTGATAGACTGGTTTCAATTTAGAACTTTGCACAGGAGTGCACCAGTCCAAGGTGCTACACCACATGTAGTACAGAGAGGTAAATGAAAGATAGTAAAGAAGACATTAAAAAGAACAGTAATAAGCAGAAATATCAGGGAGAAAGAATAGTAACGTGAGAAAAAAATGGATATGGCAGGTCACGAAAACTGAACACGTCTACTTCATTAAAAATGATTTTAAACCGTATCACCGATTGTCTCCAGCCATTGGTTTTTTAGAATTCTGAGAACTTCAATCATGCAGACTACACATTCTATACATGACCCATATTTGGTAGCATCTAAATAAAATTTTTAAGTTCCCGTTCACTTATTTATAATTATTGGTAGTCTTTCTATAAATATTTATATATTACTAATTCTTTTAATTGTTCACTATTACCTTTCAAGAAACACTATTAATTAGTTAAATTATTCCAATTCAGTTTCAGTTACCTTTTTAAATGCATATTGTTGTTGTTGATGTTATCCTTACTAATTATTTCAGTAAAAATAAGATTTAATTGTTGATTCTCCTCCCCAGCTGGTTCAAAATCCCGCTATACCATGCTTTGCAGTCACTGGTGATTATTGTCCATCTTCATCTACCCGATCTACGCATACCCAACCATTTCCACAACTTATTGGCTTACCTGTGCCTATCCGACTAGTATTCAATAATCCTGAACAATCAATAAGTCAATCTCATTTTTCACTATTTCCAACTGGTCAAAGTGCTGATACTACAACACAGAGTCATCATCAAGTTAGTTTCACCGGGGACTGCTGCTTTACAAATAATATTATAACACCTGTAACTGTTAATAATAATAATAATATGCCTCGTCATTCACGATCCAATGATAATCATCAAGAGATTGAAGCACCAGTTTTCACTGAACCACTTGGTCCAGTTGCTACAGGTTGTAAACGTGATGCCTCTGCATTATCAGCCAATTGTACAATACCTCCTATAACAACAACAACTACAACAGCAAATTTACCATTAGATTCTAATGATCAATGCACTATATATCTTCCTCCGAAACCGAAAGAATCTGTAAGTTCATTGTTGCTAGTTCAGTTGATTTGAACATGTTTTGTAGTTTTTCGGTCATCGATGTATAATTCTCTAGACTTTAAAATACGTTAGTCAGTTTGATTATTCTGAGTAATAATAACGTGCGTCGGTGGCATAGCTGTAGAGTTCTTGCCGACCACTCAGGTGGTCCGGGGTTCGATCCCAGGCCGATGCACTCCTTTACTTTGCTAAACCCGCAATAAAGGAAGGTTGGGCATGAGGGTAGCAACCCCACCCTGTAAAAGTAATCACCACCGCTACAGAAACTTTGGGCCTCTTGCTTAAAGCCATATGTTCCACTGGGAACGTAAAAGAATAAATAAAAAATAAATATGACCCACTGGCTTTTCAGCACTCAATTTCAATCCCGGATTTAGAGCCCTCTGCGCTTACTTCAATCTGCGTAACAACTGAATAGTATAATCAGCTCTCATGTATATTCCATTATGGGTAAATTTTTGTTTTGACAAAGTCTCACAGTGTTATACAGTAATGTTTACTGATGACGTTTCGAGCACAATTTATTGCTCATAATCATATCAAGGTGATACTGTATAACACTGAGACTTTATCAAAACAAAAATTTACCCATAATGGAATTATACTCTACCATAGTGCACAAATTTTATTCTTATGCATATTGTTTGCTTAAGTTCTGTTGATAACCGGAGACAGACTTTTCTTGTGCTAGAAATCCCAACTTATCCTCTGAGGAATTAATGATGCTACCCAGTTGTCTAGAATAAAGTAGGTGAGGCGAAATTCGAACTCGTCACCTATCGGTTGAAAACTGAGTAGTTAAACCAATGAGCCACATGTCAATCTCTCCGTCACATGAGTATACTCGGCTGACAACTGATGAGTTGGTTGTAGGACTTGCATACTGCAGTGATCCAATAAGCTGCATTGGCTGGAAATTATGTTCCTGAAGGTCCCACTATACCAGAAACTTTGTTCGGATAGCGGTTAGACTAAAAGCCGTTAATATGGTGTACACGAGCTCCAGAATCCAAACCTGTATTGGTCATCGGCAACCATAGGAACATAGCTCCTGACGCTTCTCCTCTGTCCTGTGGACGAGACCTCAAGCCATAGACCCGGAGAGTGGTCCGTAAAGACGACCGCCTTCTGTCTGCGATCCTGAGCAGTATTCCAGCGTTTTCACTAACCATACATCCTAATTGTGTCTCACAGCTCGGTACATAAAACGTCTCTCCCGGATAATTCGGTTTTAACAACAACAACAACAACCGCGACAAGTGATAGAACATGTTGACCACTTCACCTACTTGGGAAGTTGTATTAGCACCAACGGACTGATTGGCGATGAAATCTCAGCACGGATCCGGAAAGCTCGAGCTGCTTTCGCTGACTTACACCATCTCTGGCGTAGGCGTGACATCCGGCTGGCCATCAACCAAGGGACGTGTGTACTGCTCATCAGTTCGCTCCGTCCTTCTCTATGGCTCTGAAACATGGCCAATACGCGTTGAAGACATGAAAAGGTTGACTGCTTTCGATCATAGATGTCTGCGATCTCTGTCTCACGTTAGGTGGTTTAATAAGGTAAGTAATGCTGACGTTAGGCGTAGAGTGTTGGGCAAACAGGGAAAATCAATCGACGAGGTTATAAAGTTACATAGACTAAGATGGCTAGGTTACGTGGTGCGCATGCCTAACCACCGCCTCCCCCGACGGGCATTGTTAGCTGATATAGGTTCAGGTTGGAAAAGAGCCAGTGGTGGCCAAACAAAAACATGGCATCAATCCATGAAATCCTTGACAGTTAAACTGAGTCAGGTAGGGAGATGCAGACTTCCGGGTTGGGGCCCTCGGGACTCTAGGAATCAATGGCTGGAGACAATAGGTGACATGGCTCAAAATCGTTGTCAATGGCGCAGATGTATTCAATCTCTGTAATCTTTCATATTCCTTTCTACAATTACCCATTCTGTTTCACTCCTATATTTGTCAAACTCTATTAATTCTCTCCACTCATCTTCTTGTCTACCTCTGTGTGCTATTTGGAAGGTGGCAACTCGAACTGGTGCACTTCGGTGCCAAGTTCTATGTTGAATCCAGACAGACAGACAGACCGCGACAATAATTCACTACCAAGTATTTGTTTGCAGGGATTTGATTGGCTACAGGTTTGACCCGCGAAGTGAGCTCATATTATCCTTGTACAATTGTTGCTCTTGCTTTGTTCAAGCTACTGAACTATTGGAAAACCAAACAGTTCTCTGTGAACAGCTGCTTCGTCCTAGTTTGAGGCTCTTTAGCGGCAGAATGCATCCACTTGGGTTCGAACCCAGGACATTTTGGTTACTTTGCTTGTTGTCTAGTTCTAGTTTTATACACTTATTTGCTGATACTTCTGATATATAATAGATAATATTGGCTATATATATGTATATATATATATATATATATATATATATATATATATATATATATATATATATATATATATGTATATATATAGCAGTTTCTAATTGCTGTTTTGTTTTGAAATTTTTATTCTGTTCAATAAAGTTAATCTAATTGTTCTAGTTATTGGAAGGTCTTTTAACGTTTGAAGGTTCATCATACAATAAGCAAGCATAGCGTCTATGGATCGTACGTAGTTCATGACTAGATTTCACTTGTATAAACCTGACATATGTTAGTTTTATTACAATTTGAGATTGTTTTAACCCTAATAAATTGATAAGCTGACTGACTAACTGATGACAAATGTATCAGTGGAGAATTTTACACATTAATTCAAGTTGCCACACTTCAAACAAGAGCAAAAATAAAAACAGAATTGGAGTGATACTACAATTATACAAACATTAAATGTGACATATTAGATTACCGAGGACTCCTACCAGACAATATACTCCTTCATACGTGACTCAAATCAATGCACAGTTTATGAATTTCTTGGATTGGCGGCATGTTTTTGTCTGAACTCTTTTCCAACCTTATCCTACTTCCAGTAGTAACATTACTTGTCGGTGAAGTCATGTCCTAGTCATCTTTGTTGATACAGGATCGGAAATCTCATGAATGAATGACTTCCCTTCCTCACTTCACTGTATGCTTGATTCTGTTATCACTAACCATATAGCTTCAACTAGCACGAGCACCTATAGTCAGTAACTCATCTTCACTATACCGTTAAGCACCACTAGAATGTCATCAATAGGTCCTGCTTTCCTATCGCGTTTATACATTGTTGACAATTAGAGGGCTGATATATTTACATCTCAATCAGGTTTAGTTTAGACAGTCATGATTGGAATGCAATCAAATGAAAATTAGTTGTAAACGACATATAGTGATGAAATGTGGTCCAAATACCTTGCCGGTTAGGAGTCACTTCCATAGTAGTATGTGAAATAATCCTGTTTGGTCCCTCAGACCTCGGTAAGGGCAAATGAATTAAACTGTGTGATCGATTGACTGAAAGTCTACTAAAATATCACCATATCTGGTGTTTGTTGTCTAGACTGAATTATCCGGAACAGATCTTTTGTTTACTAGACTTAAGAGCCACACTAACTGTAAAAAAAAGGCCGATAATATAACCCAGATGTTATCCAGTCTAAAGTTGGCTGGTGTAGTAACGCTGGATGATATTTGCTGAAAACTGTAACACTTCCACTCTATTCAACTTCTTTGAATACTTTATTAATTTGTCTTGGAATTACTTGCAAGTTCATAGTTGTTACAGGGTTGTGAAGTCTTCTAAATTTTTGACCACATAAAGAATTAGGCTTTAATTTTTTATTTTTAGAAAAGTTAAACTATTAATCAATCGGTATATACATACACAATAATAAACTAGTATTCTCTTTTCCACTTTACTACAGTTAAAAGACAATCAAAATGCAATGTCAATATTTTCTAGGCGATATAAAATAATCTATTGAAATTATATATGTATATAGCATGCTACTGAATCATAAACAATTTGGTATATTTTCAAGTATTGCTTTGTAAAGATTTGATTGATTGGTTGGAGGATTTCATCATGAGCTGACGTCGGTTAGAGAACCATCGGAAAACCAGCTGGGAGTACTGGACAACTGTTTCGTCAGCCTAGTTTGGAACTCTTCATCAGTACGCACCCACACTGGGGGCCGATACAGTAGTCTATGAATCCCTACTTCTGCCAATTCATGATATGGCGCTACCACAAGCGAATATCATCAAGTATGAGGACAAATGCTCGCTAATAATATTCGCTAGTGGTCGCGCGATATCGTGAATTGGTAGAAGTTCGGATTCATGAGCTGGTCACTGGATAGGCTCCCAGTGGCTTAATGGTCTACAGGCTCGCCTTTTAACCACGAGGTCTTGGGTTCAAACCTCGGTGGTTGTGTACTGATGAAGAGTTTCAAACTAAGACGAGACAGTTGTTCAGTACTCCCTGCACTGATTAAGGCACTCTACTCGTACTCATACAGCCCGTCGAGGGCTTACGGCGAGCTGTCATCTGAACTGATGGCGACCAGTGGTGTCCGTCAAGGATGCCCATTATCCCTATTTCTATTCAACTTTATCATAGATGTGTTAATGGACTTAACCCTAGGTGACTTCAGCGACTCAGGGATTGACTTGCTACCAGGGAATAATCTCGTTGACTTGGAATATGCAGACGATATAGTCCTTTTAGGCGAAGACGCTGACAAAATGCAGAGTCTTCTGAACACCTTGAGCCGCAATCTACGAATGTTTGGCATGCGATTCGCTCCCGCCAAATGCAAGATGATGTTACAGGACTGGACTACATCGACGCCTAGTTTAAATATAGGGAGTGAAGTGGTAGAGCACGTTGACCGCTTCACTTATTTGGGAAGTACCACCAGCCCCAACGGGCTGATCTCTGACGAAATCTCAGCACGGATACAGGGTGCTCGTTCCGCATTTGCCAGTTTACGCCGACTCTGGCGTAGACGAGATGTTCGACTATCGACCAAAGGGCGGGTGTACTGCTCATCAGTCCGCTCCGTCCTCCTTTATGGTTGTGAGACCTGGCCACTGAGAGTGGAAGACATGAAGAGACTAGCTGTCTTTGATCATAGGTGCCTGCGTTCTATTTCCCGTGTAAAGTGGCATAATAAGGTGAGCAACATGGAGGTTAGGCGTCGAGTTCTAGGTAAACAGGGGAAATCAATCGACGAAGTCGTGAAGCTACAAAGACTGAGATGGTTAGGACATGTGTTACGTATGCCAAGCCATCGCCTCCCTCGACGAGCTATGTTAGCGGATATAGGGTCAGGCTGGAAAAAAGCTAGCGGCGGTCAAACAAAAACTTGGCATCAGTCAATGAAATCCACAACAGTTGGTCTAAGCCACGTAGGAAGGTGTAGACTGGCTTCCTGGTTGGGGTCCTCGGGACGGTAAAAACCAATGGTTGGAAACAATTGGTGACATGGCTTAAAATCGTTCTCAGTGGCGCAGATGCATCCACTCCTTGTGACTTATGATCTCCAATGAAACTGTTCTGTTCTTCGTTATTACTCTTCCTTTGTCTCACCCCTCTGCTCACTGTTTCGATCATGCTTTTCTTATACTTTCTTCTCTTGTTTCGCGTGCTACACGGAGCGTGGCGACTTGAACTTCCGCACATTTGTGCAAAGTTCTATGTCGAAAACAGACAGACAGTACTCTCTGCATGTTTTCCAATGGTTCTTTAACTGGAGACAGCTTATGATGAAATCGTGCAACCAATTTGGTAGACATCAAGTGAATTTATGCAGTAGTGTTATCTGGTCTACACCAGTTTTTTTTCTCTCTCTCTGTTCTTATCTATGCGTAGGGAGTACTGATAATTTGTGTACAAAAATAAATTTATGATTTTATTAACTCAGGTATTTATATTTAGCTTCCAACTAATGAGTCATATTATTTGACATTGACTTTACATACCAATATATTTAGGTTATCGGATAGAATTATACTATCTAATATCATAACTGTTTGTATTACATATGGAATGTATATAAAGCCATCCCGCCACCAAGCATTACATATGACTAAAACTTTATTTTCACTTGTTATTTCCATGTGATTCGCCCCCAACAAAATGTAAGATGATGCTACACGACTGAACTACATTGACTCCTAGCTTAGAAATAGGGAGTGAAGTGATGGCTGAGCGTGTTGACTACTTCACTTATTTCGGGAGCTGCATCAGCCCCAACGGGTTGATTGCTGACAAATTCTCAGCTCGGATACAGAACGCTCGGTCCCATATGCCATTTTACGCCGTTTATGGCGTAGACATGATATCCGGCTATCGACCAAAGGGCTTGTGTACTGCTCAGCAGTTCTCTCCGTCCTCCTTTATGGCTGTGAGCAAGACATTTTATTTTTCTATTTATTTTGATTACAGCTTGATGCCACACCGTATTTTCGGTACGAGTATGGAATTTTCAACATGTGATATCGGCAGCCCAAATTTTGCAGGTCGACCATAGATATCGGGTGTGCGTCGGCAGGGGATCGAACCCCGGACCATGTGCATGGTCGGCGAGAGTCCTAACCACTATGCCACCGACGCACCGACATGGCCCCCATTAGAAGTGGAAGACTTGAAAATGCCAGCTAGCTGCCTTTGATCGTAGGTGTATGCGTTCTATCTCCCATGTGAAATGGTATAATAGGGTGAGCAATATTGAGGTTTAGCCATCGGTCGAGTGCTAGGAGAAGAGGAGAAATCAATAGACGAGGCTGTGAAGCTTCAGCGACTGAGATAGTCAGGAAATGTATTGTTCATGCATGCCTAGCCATCGATCGCCTTCCTCGACAATGGGGAATGTTAGCTGACATAATGTCAGGTTGGAAAAGAGCCAGTGGTGATGAAACCAAAACGTGGCTTCATCAGTCAGTGAAATTCACAACAGTTAGTTTAAGCCACGTAGAAAGGTGTAGACTTCCTGGTTGGGGTCCTCTGGATGGTAAGAACCTATGGCTGGAGACAATTGGTGATATGGTTCAAAGTGGTCGTTCTCAATGGCTGGTGCAGATGCATTCACTCCTTGTGACTTATGACACCTGATAAAACTATATTGTTCTTCGTTATCACTGTTTCTTTTGTCTCATATCCCTGTTTACTGTCTCTATTTTGCATTTCTTCTACTTTCTTCTCTTGCTTTGTATGCTACATGGAGTGTGGCGACTCGAATTGTTGCACATCGGTGCAGAGTTCTATGTCGAAACTAGTCAGTCATTATTTCCGTAGTAAATGTAGAAGAAGTAACGTACTTTTTGTCTCACTACACCAAACCTCTTTCCATAATACTAGCAAATTACCTCTGTCTACCAAGTCACATAATATAGGCTGATGATAATGACATCTGCCAACTTACATCATCTCTGGTGTGCGCGCGACATCCATCTATCATCGATCAAAGGACGTGTACTGCTCAGCATTTTGGATCTGTCCTTCTGTACGACTGTAAGATATGCAAGATAAGAAGAGGCTATCTGCCTGTGATTATACGTGTTTGCCTCTTATCTCCAATATTAAGGGGTTCGATATGTTGAGTAACATCGAACTTAGACATGGTGTGTTAGGTAAGTGGATTACGGTGAAGGGCAGTCATTTGGAAATGTTGTGTTCTATCTACCTTAATGATGATGTATGTCAAACAATCGCCTTCCTCGACCAGGCATGTTATCAGGAGTAGGATTAGGGGATTGGAAAAAAAAAGTTTCAAATGAAAAGATGGCACCAGTCCATGAATTCATTGATTCTGCATTGATCTGAAACACGTACGAAGGAGAAGAAGATTGTCTGGCTGAAGTCTTTGGTTGGTAACTTTTTGTCCTGTGACTGACTAAAAAAAATCATTCAAGATGATTAATTCCTTGTTGTTTATAAAATCTTGAGCAGCTATGTTAGTCTTTATTTAATAATTATCCTGTGGGGGTACCATTCATAATTTTTTTTGTGAAATTTTGAATTGTGTCAGTTGTCGAACTTTTTTGCTGTTCTGCTGTCTGTCTGTCTCTTTTCGACATAGAACTTTGCACCAATGTGCAACAGTTCGAGTCGCCACACTCCATGTAGCACACAAAGCAAGAGAAGAAAGTAGAAGAAAGGCATAATAGAGATAGTAGACAGGGATATTAGACAAAGGGAATAGTAATATCGAGGAACAATATAGTTTCATTGGAAATCATAAGTCACAAGGAGTGGATGCATTTGCACCAGCCATTGAGAACGACCACTTTGAGCCATATCACCAATTGTCTCCAGCCATTGGTTCTTACCATCCAGAGGACCCCAACCAGGAAGTCTACACCTTTCTACGTGGCTTAAACTAACTGTTGTGAATTTCACTGACTGATGAAGCCACGTTTTGGTTTCATCACCACTGGCTCTTTTCCAACCTGACATTATGTCAGCTAACATTCCCCATTGTCGAGGAAGGCGATCGATGGCTAGGCATGCATGAACAATACATTTCCTGACTATCTCAGTCGCTGAAGCTTCACAGCCTCGTCTATTGATTTCTCCTCTTCTCCTAGCACTCGACCGATGGCTAAACCTCAATATTGCTCACCCTATTATACCATTTCACACGGGAGATAGAACGCAGGCACCTATGATCGAAGACAACTAATCTTTTCATGCTGTTCTGCACACAGTTCTAAGCTGTGAAGTAGCTAGTCATTTAGACATTTAGGGGAAATCCTTTAAGTTGGGATACTGTTGCAATATACACTTATTGTTCTTATAAATTTTTTATTGTCAAATTGATTGGAATTATCGTTTCATTTATAATCTCAACTTTCCATTCTAGGCAACATTTATATGAAGATGCAAGCTTTTTACTATTTTCACTTTCAGAGGTTTAATTACGAGTTGATATCAGTTAGAGAACTATGGAATCTGGCCTCAGCCGCTGAATGCTCTACGAACTCACGTTGTAACCACAAGATCCTGAATTCGGACCCCAGTGGTTGCGTACTGTTGTGAAAAGTCCCAAACTAGGACAAAACAAGCTGTCCAGTACCCCCTTTTGTTTTAACTGTAGGTTCTCTAACTGATGTAAACTTACGATCAAACCTGCAACCAATCAAATCCCTGCAAACCCAACACTTGATAAGTATTCATGTTTACCGATCCCTGCTAAGCATGTAATGAATTTGTCTCTAGAATGATCATATCAGTTGTACATTCAATGCTAATCTTATTCATGCTCCCATTTTGTTGTCTTAGGAAAGGATGATGCATATTCAACGGTGGGTGAATCATCTACCTTGGAATGCTAATAATGTATGTGATGCTTCCGGTAGATCTCATGTACCTTATCCTATTCCTCTACGTCCTCATATAGATGAGGATCGTGAATTAACACCTCCCCCTGGTCGAAATTATTTAACTCGACTACCATTTACAGCTGAAGAACAACAAGCTATGGTACGATTTTTTCCTTCGCATACAAATCAATATAGACATCAACATCAAGCTCATGCTGTTCCGGATCCTCAACCTCGATATCAACATCCATTTCCTAATCACTGTGCAAATCAACAAACCTCTAATAATAATAATAATCACCATTTTTCTTCATCACAAAGACCTAGTCAAGAAGCAGGTAATGTTTTCACACCTACTGGTGTTCGGCATATACCTGAATATATAAATGAAAATAGTCGAAAACGTGGACAAGAAGATGTTACTGGTGGTGGTGCGGGTGCTGGTGCTGGTGGGAGTCGATTATTCGCTGACTGGGAGACAAGATTAATTAGTCGCCTTTTTAAAGAATTCTTCCATGGAAATCCTAAGCCTACTGGTGTCTGTGGTACACTACCATCACTTAGTGAAGTACGATCTCGTATAGCTACGTCAAAATTAAAAGAGACTAGAACACCTACAGCTGTTCGATCAAAAATCCGTCGTATGCAATCCTCTGGCACATGGTTAAAGTATCAATGAGATTGAGGTGGGTTTTGTGTTTGTGTGCGTGTGCGTGTTTTCTTTTTGAAGCTCTTCTTTCCCCTCTCTTTTTCTCTCCCTGTCCCTTCCTTTCTTTCTGTGCTACAGTTCTTTATCAAAGAATTCTATGTGTACTAATTTTGGACGATTGACGACAATAGTTCAATGACAATTTTTAAAACATAAATAACCTGTGAAGAGCAATAATGAATAATAGCGCTCAAGTTATTATTTATACGTATATTATACATATAAATAGTGTTTCAATTGTGTGAAGTTTCGTTTATTTCTTTGCATGTCATAATTGTTTCAACTTCTTTTTTTCTCTCTCAGTCAAAACTCTAGTTTTTATTTCAAGTGTATCATTCCAGAGTATGCGTGTGTGTGTGTGTGTATGTTGTGATGTTTTAAATGAAAAACTCTACACACTACATATTTCAAAGCTGTTTATAGAAAGTATATAATAATATATACATTTAGCAACAATCCTTCTCTCAACTGCAATATATATATATATATATATATATATATATATATATATATATATATATATATATATATATATAAAACGTTCAACAACAATCCGCTTGGATAAATGCTGTTTATAGCTCTTGTTTTCTCTTCTCCTCATCTAACCAACCAACTATCTATCTATCTACTATTGTATTGCCCCTGTTTTACGCCACTCTTTCTCTCTATCTGTCTGTCGTGTCTCTTTGTCGTATTGTCTTGTATGTATCTACCCTCAGAGAGTTCTTTCGGTTATTTTGTTTTTTTCATCGTCTCCTTTCTCCGTTTGTTTGTTTGTTTGTTCGTTCGTTCGTTGTTCATTCGTTTGAGCTATTTCCCCGACAGTATTATCAAGCATTATTACACATATACATATATACGCATATATATATATATATATATATATATATATATATTCTTGTATATGTAGGTAGTATTACTGTCATTATTAGTATTAGTATTATTCCTTTTGTCTTTTTGTTTTTCGAATTTTTTTATGAGTATTTTTTGCTCCATAAATTATGTCTCTCTCTTTCTCCCTTTCTCCTCATGTTGCTTATTATTATTATTATTATTATTATTATCGTGTGAAATGAAGATATCAGCTGTGCATATCAACAACTGGTCTTAATTGTTTATTTCTTTGATTGATTCCAATTTCTTTTTTCTTTCTTAATGATGCTCACCACCCCTACGTCCTCTGTCTCTCCCTATTTCTTTCTTGTTCATTAATTGTGAGGGGGTGGAGGGTCGGCTGAATGAGGGAGGGGTTGTTTTTCTTTTTTGAGTTTCCCTCTTTTTTTCCAAATCTTCTTGTATACTGTTTATTACTGTTATTATTATTATTTTTTACTTATATATATGTATACATATGTAAGGTTGAATAAAGGAAATAATCAATGTAGTAGGACGATTCAATTAATTCACTCTTTCTCCGTCCCTCTGCCTCACTCTTTGTCTCTCTCTCTCTCTCTTTCTATCTATCGATCGATCGATAGATCTAACTGGTGTAATAATCAATTCCAGTTTATCAATAATAATCTATTTAGTAGTTATTAATAATAATGATGATGATAATAATAATAATTATAATTACCACCCTTGTGCTTATCTTTTCTTCTCGTCTTCTTCTTACTGTTCTTCTTCTCTGAAGTTTGTCGATAGAATTACACAGAAATACACTGCATATCTATCTGCGTGAAGAAAAATAAATAAAAAAATATATTTACACCTATACAACTGTGCATATATGATTATTTATTAGTGTTTTTCTATGATTCGTCTGTGTGTGTATGTGTGTGTGAGTAAGAGAGTGTTTGCCCGTCTGTTGTCTATCTATCTATCTATCTGTCTGTGGACTCGTCGAGTCATGCAGCGGATGTTGTTGTTAATTCTGAGTGAACCAAGCTATAGTAACACACTTTTGTCTCATTCCTTGACTTCTGAGCTAAATATATGGAAGCACGTCAGGCCTGAGGTCTTGAAGTTCATGTATCTGTCTGCTTCCTCTCTCCCCCCCCGCCCCCGCAACTTACTGTCGGCTAGCAAACTAGATAAGGTTTACGAGGACGTCGACCGGGAATTGAACCCACCACCACTCTTTGTGGTTTCTTTAAGTGGGGAAAAGTATATAGGATATTAATGAAAAGTGTGTAGGTGACTACGTTCATTAAGCGCTATACAAATTTCTTTTAGAAGGCGAATGTATTTTTTCACTAGCTCCCTACAGAAGTGTATGAGCGGTTGTTACTTCCCTGTTGTTCACGCCGTCAAAGTTGACTTTTTCTTGACAATATATGGTGATCATTCTTTACAATTATGTTCAGGCTGTCATCTGTTTCTTGTTCTGCTTATGGAGAGATACTGCTCCAAATGTGGCGACTTCCTACTTCAAATCAATAAGAGAGAGAGAGAGAGAGAGACAGAGTCGGTGGAAGACTGAAGCTGCTTCTTCAACTAATGCAAAGGAGAAATTTAGGTACTGTGGCAGAATATAATTCCATATTATAGATGTCTTTTCGGGCACCATATATTTAGCTCATTATCACACTGTCCTCCTCCTAAAACACATGCATAAACTCCGACTATACACCAATCCACGTACGTGTGTGCTTTCGACTGAATGGACATAGAAATAAGCAGCTATGAAACCACCTTACCCTTAGCACGATGAGAACACAAAGTCTGTATTAAGGGAAATAGCTAGACACCTATCTAAGATTCACTGCAAAGCTCACCTTGATGAAGCCTGAAGTAATATCTGGCAGTAAAGGCCGTTGATAACTTTGAAACCAAAAGTTAGTAAATGCCAGTAGATTTTTGTTGCCTTATCCAAACGTAAGAAGACTCATTTGGCTGGGCTGTGAGCATGATGAGTAGTGAAAGCTGAGTAAAAGTCTTCAGAATGATTGTTAACAGTGGTGGACGAAAAAAACGAAAGAGAAGGGAGAGACATCAGCTGTAGCTTATACCAGACAACTGTTTTAATTTATTAGGGAAACGGGTTATTAAAAAAAACTAATTGTTAGTGAAACAATTTCCGAAACGACTGCAGTGTAGGAGGGAACACTTTGAAGAGCAGTATAAACTGTCCTGTGTAGCCATGCCCAACGTGTAACACATTGGTCGCAAAGCTGTAGCTGAAGATACCTCTAATCTAAAACGAAACAAAGCAACCAGACCTGATGGTGGGACTTCATTGGTGTTAACCAGTAAACCAGTCAGACTTTAGGGTGTATTGAGGATATCTTCACCCTTCGACAGATTCTGGAACATAGGCATACTTACCAGCGTCAGACACTTGTCATATTTCTGCACCTAAAGACAGCATTTTGACTCTGTTGATTGAAAGGTTCTACGGCAATGTGCGGTTTTAGAGGAATTACTGAATCAGTATATCCCACTAATCAGGACGCTACTCGAACGCATGCAGCTACCGTAGGAGGTGATGGAGAGTTGTCATTTGAAGTGGAGATAACTGGTGCTGTACGTCAAACATCTCCGATGTCTTTTTGTTTAATGTCATCATAGATGTGACACTGATCAACTTTAGTGACTTAGAGATTGACATGTTTCTAGAGGACAGTTTCATTGATTTAGAGTATAGAGACGATATAGTCCTTATGGATGAATATGCTGGCAAAATTCAACATACCAAATATTTTAAGCAGAAATCGTGGTATGTTTAGCATACCTTTCATCTCTGTCAGATGTAAGATGATACTAAAGGACTGACCTGAATTGATTTCTAGTTTAAAGATAGGGAATGTAAGGGTTAAGTGTTTTGACCAGTTGACTTATTTTGGAAGCTACATGAACCCTAGTAGACTGATTGCTAACAAAGTCTCAGCACAGCTGCGAAAGGCTCGTGTGCCACCTACTAATATACATCATCTGTGGTATAGATGTGGTATTACGTGAAGGAGGAAAAGTTAGCCGATAGTTATGTCCGTTCATCCCTTCTTGCAAGGCATCTCTTCGAACAATGTTAGCTGACATAGGATTAGGTTAGAAAAACACGGTATCGGACCAATAGATGTTTAACTGTTGGTTTTAGTCACATAGAAAGGTGTAGACTGCATGGCTTTTGAGTTGTCACGATGCTAAGAACCAACTGTTTTTGTGGCATGGTTCAAAATCTCTCTCAATCAGGCAGATGCATCCACTTTATGCAATCTCTTATGTCCATTATATTCTCATTAGTTTTGTACCTGTCTGTTTATTATAGTTTCTTTGAGGAGGTGGTTGGTTTATGAGTGCACACTAGTGAAGCATTCTAAGACTACTAGAAGGAACAGCTCTTCTGTTCTATTCTCTGATTGATGTCGGTTGATAAAATAAAAATATACAGCGATATCCCTTTTGTGTGTGCATGTGTGTGTATTTAGATCGAGATAATAGCGATATCGTTAGAAAGTCATGTCATCTATTTTTGCTTATTAGCTGCATCAGCTGTTTTTGTACTTATTTATATAAAAAAGATATTTGTGAAGCATCATTTTCCGATAAATAGACGAGCTGGTCAGAAACCACTTTATCAAGACTCTGTTATCTGCATATAACTGGTCAGTAAAGTACTTCATCTGTAAAAGCCTTAAGAGAAACTAAAAGTCAGTGTACATTGAAAAAATATCAAAGACTAGAGTAGGCTCATAATACCATTGGTGGGGGTTCAGCAGTCACATCTCACGTGGTCATCGTGAAGCTGGTAGTAAGCTTGGTAGAGAGGAAAGGTTGGACTTAAGGCTAGCCATCCCATCTCGTAGAAAATATACTCTACTGTTACTGAAACTTCAAAGCTCTAGCTTGAAGGCCAATGTTCCACTCGGAAGGTGAAGAAATAAAATAATTACTTCTAAACCTTTTAAGCTAGAATCGAATATACCTTTCAGGTTATGATAGTAAGATTGTATGACATTTAGTAGGTTATTATTATTGTTGTTCATCCCTTGCGTTTCGAGTGAAACATATGGTCTCAATGACACATCTTC